AAAAAAAAAAAAAAACAACGGTGGGTCAGCCTCCCTTGACGACCATTCGATTTGACTAGATTAGGCCAAGGTTTCCCGTTATATTATAACCTGGAACAGCGCAGTTAGCCAGCTGGTACAGTAGCTGCAGTCTCAATTAGCAAGATGTACAATCAAATGAAAAATATCCTGGCCTTTGCTTTTCTTCTCTTTTTCTTTGGCAACAATTTGAACCCTCGCCTCAAAAAGATCTCCAGAGTTTCGCCGGACATTTTTGAAATATCTTTGCCCCAAGACCAAGGGTATTATGGTGTGGCAAAAGAGCATTAGGCCAGGTTACTGCTGCTGATTCGGCCAGTCAGCTCTGCTGGACTTGGAAATCCTCCCTGCAGTTCCCTGAATTGATGGGTCAAGGAATCCCTCGCACTTTTTTAGTACTTGTTTCACCGACCCTAGAATAAATTCGGCATGCCCTTTAACTGATTGAAGTCTACCCATCGATGAAATTATTATCGAAAGTAAAGCCTGTGGGAACTCTGATTGGGATGCAGAGCTTCGCTAGAATTGTCTTGCTAGTAATTCTTTCCCTCGATTCAACGTTGCTACGTTTTAAGGGAACCCACATTGAAAGCAATGGCGACGAACAACATAGATTCAAAACATATATGAATGGAATATGATAAATTCTCTTTTATATGGTTTTTCTACTTTCAGAGGTCAAAAGTTGGACCACTGAGCTAGAGTCCCTATCAGCACCAAAAGTGTCTCGTAGGCAAGATTTTTCCTGAGGTCGAAGCATTTGCTTTGGATGCACCACCCTATAAAGTCCAAACTCTCCCTCACCCAAGGAGTGTGGGCATGTCAGGATATGGATTTGACAACTTTGAATCAATGAAACTAGCAGGTTGCACGTGTTTATTTCTTCCCTTATCTCGAGTCATCATGGATCATTCCTATGGCCCCAGTTGAGCTTTTACAAATTCAAAGAAACGAAAACCAAACGGAAAGAAGCAGCGGCCATAATTGACATGTCTATTCGTATCAATATTGCTTTAACTGTTTGTATTTATTTGGAACTGGAAATAAAAGCACCCATGGTTTCAACATTAGAGCCTATGTTTTTTGGTTCAGCACAGCAGACGCGCAACCTTTACAGCAGATTTTGCAGGGTAATCTTGACCAATGATTTGGATCAGAGATACACAAAATAACAGAACATGCACACCTCACAACAAGCCAATTTATTAGGCAAAATTTATCCCTTGAGCCAATGGCAGTTCATTTCCATAATTGATCGCACTGCCGAGGACAAAAATCGGTTTGAGTCATTATGAAGAATAGCACATGAATACAACTACGAACGAAGAATGAAAATTACCATGTGGAACGTCGCATGTATTGTTTCCATGAGTCGCTTACCGCTTTGCGACCACCACCAGTTGCTTTTTCTCCACCAAAAGCACCACCGATCTCAGCTCCATTTGTTGGTATATATACATTGACAATGCCACAATCACTTCCGCATGGACGGCATAAACTACTCAAATGCATGAGCACGTAACATGAAAAGTATTTGTCACAGAAAGAAGAGCAACATGCTCATCAAACATATCATTTCATGGGGTAGCAATTCGATGGATAGCAGATATGTCCTCCGAATTTGTAAAGAAAAAGGTCAGCTGATCACAACATATCTTCAAAGGATCAACTAGTAGACTCAAAAATGACAGATAGTAAGCTATACGGTTTGTAACTATCATCCAAGATCTACCAAATCTTCTTGTGCGGAAATTCAAGCCCATGACCACCTAGCATTAGCTAAGAACATCCGAGAACTCACCCAATCCATTTGAATATAACTTGAGGTCTGCGTGTAAAGATAGAACTACTTAGTCCTGGAGGTACAGAGTCGTTCATTTCTATTGCTTCTTCTAGACCCTGCACAAATAGTACATTTCAAAGGTCAAACACAGTAAAAGTAATCTATTTAAAAAGACTGGCAATATGAATCAACAAGGACATTGTAAATTGAATATATACCTGAAATTCCATAACATATAGTACTGGACCAAATAATTATTCTTTCACAACAGAGGCATCTGGAGAAATCTCAACAAATGTTGGCTGCACAAAATTACCGTCTGACTCTATAACAGTACCACGAGTAAGAATCTTCCCTCCCTAGAAGTATCAGCATGAGCTTTTAGATCATACAGCTCAACAAGTCTACATAACAGAAACAAAAAAAGATAATATAAAAGCAGTTAAGATATATCTTAACGTTCAATAATAGAATATCACATTTGAGCAGGGTCCTTTTTCAGAAAGAGGAAAAGGGTACAAACATCCTAACAAATGGAGCAGCCTATTGAATAAGACCATTACAACAAACGTATAATGCTAGTAATTGCACAATTGTATAAGACCTGCCCATCACACACAAATTCACAGAAGAAGAAAGAGGAAGAGAGCTATAAACAGACAGAATACATGCCTGAGATTTTACGATTCCTATCCCCTTCTCAAAGCTCTCTTGTGAAGCACAGGTATGTAAGGGCCCAACTCAAGTCCCTTTTTCCGGAGGGTCTCCAACTCTGACTTGTTTGTATACCTCAATTAGTTGATCCAGCACATTTTCATATATGCTTTCATGAAGATACTACACGAAGAAATATGGAAAAAAGAAAATTCTTAGATTTTGACTTCACCATTGCAGTTCTGAAGTTAAAATTGTAATGAGAGGTACATACTAATCTACGACATGTTGTGCACCGCTGACCAGATGTACCAACAGCTGCGAACAATATAGAACGCACAGCTAGTGCAATATCAGCATCATCCATGACAATTATAGCATTGTTTCCACTCAACTCGAGCAAGCATTTACCAAACCTTTGACTAACAGTTGCTGAACCATCAAACCCACCTACAATTTGGAATGCAGCGCAGATACGCGTAGAGTCATGGTAATGGAAACACAGACAAGAAATATAACCAAAAATATGTGCATGCATATCAATTTTGCAAATATCTCCAGATGCGTATATGCTCTGGTACCAGTATAACTGATACCAATCAAACTCAGAAACAAACTCATATAACTGAATCTATGGCATCAGAACTCTGAAGGGGGGACCAATATACTACAGTCATTATGAAGTAGGAATCAATATAACAAAGGGTCACCAATAAATTTAAACACGGTCTCATGAGTCATGAATCATGAATCATGACCCCTCAGCTTCATCCAATTATAAAGAGCTAAATTATTTTGGTTTTGAACCTTCATGGAGGATTATCTTTCTATCAAGTAAGCAGACCATAGACATATAAACATTCTTTACATTGATAATGACTGCATGCCTTTGAGCAGATAATGTAGTGATACATTGGAATTTACCTTTTGAGAGTCCAGTAAATGAAACCAGGGTGATGCATGTATTGATTGCAATAGCTTGACCAATTTCAGCACCTCCACAGAAGGAGGTGAACATTCCACCAGGCAAGTTTTTTTTCTCTAGAATGTCAGACACAAGCTTTGTCACTGCAATACTAACCAATGGAGTTGTAGGAGCACCCTTCCGACAGAAGATTTACATGGTAAGTAGCTGCCTCCTAAGAGAGAACTATAATTGTATTAAAAATATGAAATTGTTGAAGTACTCAAAAGCTGATGAAGTATCACACATAATCTTCAAAGTATAAGAATGTGTTACTCTGCAGCAAACTGATTTTGAAATGATTTGATTCTCTAAAACAGAACCTAACTTTCTTTTTTCTTTTGTTTCCTTCTCTCTGAGCAATTAATGGCAGTAAAAAAACTGACCAAAATTAGGAAAAGAATTATCATACTCTCAAAGACAACCCAACATCAGAGGAAAGCTTGTATGAAAAACCATAATCTATGTACTTGAAAAATAGAAGAATGAAGATGTGGAATAATCTGATGATCTTATAGATGATGCTTACATGAGACACAAAGACTTACCATACAACAGAATTACCACATACGAATGCGAATGCAGGCATTCCACGAAAAGAGCAAAACATAAAACTAATAGGGGTCAGAAACCACAGATCTCAGAGAGTCAGAGTAGATGTTTATAAATTTAATCAAAACAACAATTTAGAGAGTATGAAAATTTACATTTAAAAAGATTCCATACAATTGTTTACAACACAGTGAAAAGAGAAATAGTAGATAAAATTAACATATTACTGTCCAGTTATCTAGATATAAAATTACAATAGGCTCAGATAGAATATTGCAGATGCAACAGTGTTAGATTACCATTTACTAATGGTGCTCTTACACAAAAGAATCAAGTGGATAGCTACTAAAGTCTTACACAATCAAACCTACCAAGAACAGCACATAGGAAGTTGAAAGCGGTGATTACACCAACACCAGGGGATTCCACACCTGTGACACATAAAACATGCAGATAACAATTAAGAATATGGTCAAAGGTAAAAGTAACTCAGTCCAAATTATCCCATGCAGTTATCTGATTATTAGGACACCTCAAACATCATATGCTCTGGACCTGCAAAACAGAACAGAAAACAGGAAGGCATCAGATCTGACACTTCTAACTCCCTTGAGAGAGAAATACACCAGTACATAAAACAATTTTTGGTTGAGTAGTGAAGAACCAGGGCAAAGTTAAGTCCCAATTAACTATCTTGATGGCAAGATCAGTTTTCTTGATTATTCCTAACATGTTCTAGTAGCTTGTTAAACTATCTTTAGAATGCCTCAGAGATGTTTGGGCTCACGTTCTGAAGGTATAATGGATCCATTCAGTTGCCGGCTTAATTCCACAGAATAATCACACATATCAATAATTTCCTGCAAAAAGTAAGACTTTAGAGTTTTATGATAGGATAGAGATGGAGTGAGAAAAACTAACCTTAAAAGGTTAATCTAAGATTAAACATGGAAAAAAGGAAAGCTGCTAAGCTCATTTGATGCTTTGCTAGCAATATAACTGCAGTACACCTTTCCGAAAGAAATAAAACCAGAGTGCATCCAGGTTCAGGCTATACAACAGGAACCAAGAAATACGCTAGAAAGGCAAGAGACTTTCATTTTATTACATGGAGCGGCTAACATAGACATTGAAAGGCCTATTGGACTGATTCAAAATGTTAGGAGAATTGCCTACAATAGGACAATATACTGCAAATGTATTTTTAAGCCAGCGTATGAAGAAATAGAATCACATACTTGAACCTCTCCTATTCCTTCAGCAAGTATCTTTCCCCATCTCTAGAGATGCAAGCCTGCCCAAATACTCCTATTTGGCTCTGAATGCTTCCCCTATCTATCTAACAATCTCACCTCTTTTTGGTGTTGGAATCTGTTAAATAGATACACTATCTTGAAAAATGTTATTGTCGGCATCCAACATAAACAGTAAATATATGAAAAATAAAGAACTCACATTCATCCATGTCTTTGTAGCTTCACTGCAAGCACGCATTCCCTCCTCATAATCACGAATAGGTGCCTCTGTAACTTTTGCAATGGCCTACATTGAGAATTACGAGATGAAGGAAAGTATTAATGAAAAATTAATCGGAAACAAACAAGAAAATCCAAGTCACTGAGTACCCTTGTGAGAGAGTTTCTTATTAATTATTAGCTAATAGAGCATTCTTGATTAAACATTTCTTAACATCCTCAGGGTTCTTGTTAATATCCAACATTACACATAATCATAAATCCCAGTTTTTTAAGTCAACAAAATTAATAGGTTCAGAACTTTCAATAAATTATTTTATTATCAACCAGAGAATAACACATGCTATGGCTAATACAAATTCCATGATAAGCTATCTGCAAAAATATTCAAAAGGTGAAAATTTTGAACCTGATTGTTTGAAGGATTAACAGAAGAAACCTCTGAACCACTAGCCTTCCTTCCACATGCCATTTATGAAACAGCCAATGTTAGTAGGACCCAAACCTATTTCCCCAAGAAACTCGTATTCTTTCCTGCAAAATCCCATCTCTGCAAAGCAATAGCTGTTAAGTGTTGGTCACCTGTAGAGTAAAAAAAAGTGTTGATCACCCGATGAAAGCAAATCATGAACCCAGAAAATAAAAAAAGTATTCCGTGTAAAAGGTAAATCGTCAAACCAGGAATGAAGTACAGATAAGAAGAAAGCTTTCAGGCAAAAATTAATGCAGATAAAGGGGTTGAGTGGGAAACTCTAGGTGTAGTTAAAAGAGACGGCAAAGCGAGTGTGGCGTTGGAGAACGATTGGAAGGGAGTGTCAGTGTCACCATCTCATCATCCCAAGATTTTCATGTCTTCATGTGTCACACTGAGGTGATTCAGATTCTTGGATCATTCGCTTCAAACTCTACTTCCTTTCAGGTGGCTTTTTGGGGTCCCTTTTCATGGCTTCAAAAAAGGAAAAAATTAAAAAAAAGGGGAAAAGAAAATAAAAGCCTATTCTGTTTAATAAGTACTTGAAAGACAAAGTTTACTTGATGAACAACTTTTGATTGTCTACGTACGTGCTCTATACATATGTGCCAAGCATTATATTAGTACACGATGGTTTACACATCCTGAGTGCCATTCTTTTAAGTGCTATCGATTAAATTTTTTTTTAATTGGTTTAAAAGCATCATATATATACACAATAATATAAATGCTGCTAGTAAATAGTTCATAAATGGTTAGTCCATTTGGGAACTTGCATCTCTGTGGTTATTTTAGAGGAGGAAAGTAAAGAGCAGAGAAAGAAGTATTACCACTAGTTTTTTGACATAAAAAGAAAGAATAATCACATGCATACTTCAAATCTTCTATTTTTTTTTTCCCTATCACATGTCGTGCAGGGCAACAGCCCAAAGCAGTTGCAGA